TCACTTTGAAATGGCGTGCTATAGATATGACCGATACTGTATATTTTCTTTCTTTCCATTCATTTAAACTTGGATGCCCTGCTGGAGTTGCAGGCCGCATGCGCATCTAAAGTTAACTGCCAGAATTGCCCTGTTAGTGGCATTTTGAAAAGTTTTGGCCACTGCGCTTAAGCTTATTTCTTGTTTATTATTTTTATTTTTTTTTTTTGTATAAAATAAAAATATGCAGGAAAAGATAATTGCTTTCTATTTTATAAAAAAAAAACGCGAAAATGAAGCGAGGAATCAGGACCGGCTTTAGAAGCAAAGACGCCCGGGGCGTAAATGGAACGAGGCGCGCTTTGATAATCATGTGTTTTTTTAGGATAGTAAATGTATTGCAAAAATAGTCGAAATTTAAGAATTTTTATGGTCTTGCAGCGAGTTTAAATTTTTTAAATTTGGTATACTGAGTAAGTCCTAGTATAATGATAAGATCTTAATTCACAGCTGGGCAGCGTCTGCCCGGCAGGCCAGATTTTCATAATTGGAAATTTTATGCAATAAAAAAACGCCACATCAAAATTTTGCAATCCCAGCATAAGACTCTCAACACCACTTGTGAATCCCCGAGGTGTATTTAGAGTTATTTATGTAATTGCCAAGTAGTGCTAGGCAAAAAACGCAGACTTCTCCAGTCTCTCCAACCTACGAATTTTTTAAGCTTCCTCTTATGAATTATGTCTTCATTCGCCTCCTCAACTCACCCTTTCGACCATTTTCGCTGGCATCACCAATTTAATAGCGGCAAACATTTTCTCAAATACCGAGCCAGTATTGAAGAAATGTGAACCTTTAATGCTCACCGGCATGCCCTCTTCGACATACAAGCTAAATCTTTTCATAAGCGATGGACTAATTTGAAAGAAGTGCGCCATGCTGAAGTCCTCAAAGTCGCCGATTTGCATAAAACCACCAACAATCAAATTGTCATTGCTTATTAAGAAGATATCTTGCAATATAAATCTTGCACGCAATATTTCAGTCATATTGAATTTGTTGGGGTCGTATTTGCCAGGGCGCATTAACACTAAGCATGGGCCATCCTCCATTAGCGGTAGCGGCAAGTAAAGCGTAACGCTGGAGATCGTATGTGATTTAAACCAATATACGTATGTATGTAAATGATATGAAATTTTCGCTTACCCCAAACGTATAATGGCGCGCAGCCGTTGATCATCCACAAAGTTGTGTTGATTCAAATCGGGCATCGCCGTACGCAAAGTATAGTATTGATTCAGTTTTCGTTTCGCCTTCTCCAGACTAAATTTGCAGTCACGCAGGAAACTTACAAGAAATTGATCGCTCGTGCGGCACTTCAAATGTGGTTGCCTTAGCAACCATTCTCTGAACGCAGCGATGTCCACGGCCAGACGCTCGGGCACTTCATTCAATTCGGCAATCGCCTTATGCTGTAGCGCCGGTGTTAGTGGGCGTATATTTAGTGAGGGCGTGTCCATTTCCTTTTTTTTCACGTCTTCGATTACGACAAAAATAGTTTTAAATGCTGCTGCCGCTACATCTACTGTCCATTTGATTATTTCTCGAGTACAGAAAAATTACAAGTGAATTGTTTTTTGTTTACATATTACAAATACTATACAGTATGTACTATGTACATTAAAGGCTCACAGATAAATTTGTCGCGATTACAAATATTGACGTGTGTGTGCATTACAAATGCAATACTCTTTGTTCATTTATTTTACTTAGAGGTACTTGTACATATCGCTACCTAAATCAAAATAGGACCAACTCAAAAAATTCCAAATGTTTAGTAGAGGCAAAAACTGTTGATGCTGCGCCAGCAACAAGAGCAAAACAAATACAGTCTTAATTGTTTTTTTGTTTTCGGTTAAAGAAGAAGACATTTTAGTGGATGTTAGAAATATGGTCTGTGTACTGTTTTATGAGAATAAAATCTATTTTGAAAACTTTTTAGTTATGACTGTTTTAGAATTAAAGTGCGATATGTATGTTTGTATTCGCCACACCAACGATCAATTGCAATACTTAGCATGTGCATACACAGTTTATTAAATTTGATTGCATGTGGTCAGCATGCCAGTAGGAAAATCACAGCGTCAGTCGTAGCACTCTGAAATTGGACTATTCAAATACAATGATAAATGGATTGTTTAAAAATGAGCTAAGTAAAGTAATAATACCGTCAAATTAGAAAAATCTAATAATTCTTAGCACGATGGTCTATTATTTTTGAATACTGTGAGGTCCTATAAATTGCGGCCTATATTAGAATAACTTCAAATTGATAAAAAACTGAAACCAACTCTCTCCTACAGTCCCCCACAAGTTGCTACCTAACCAAGGAAGCGGAAAGCGCCCGAATAGCCGCCAGGTTAACTGAAAAAATATGCACCAAGTGCAAAATGTTATATATCGTTGCCTTAATATAGAAAGGCCCTATCTCACATCGTCGCTGAAATGCACAAAGCCGTAACTAACTAAAATCTTTTATTGCATAAAACGATGTGAGGCCACATAATTCGATCAAATGCATCATAATCAATTAAAACGTAAATTTTCAATTTTTAGTTAGTTACGACTTTTTGTAAATCAGCGACGATGTCAGATAGGGCCTTTCTATATTAAGGCAACGATATGCACATCTACATACATACATACATACACCTGCGTTCAACTAATTAGAAACGAAATTCAAAATGATATTGTTTGCAAATTATGTTTATTTTTTTATTTTTAATAATTTTCGTAAATATAATTTAAAATATAATTCAAAATCGAATAGAAACTATAATAATAAAAATTTCAAAGCTTGCAAAAAATGTAAATTAATCAAACTTCAAAAAATTGCCATCAAAATTTTTTCAAATTTCTAGAAAATTTTCGAGTATGCAGTTCTGTAGCCCATTAAATTGTAGTCAAAGAAAGTGCAAGTCTCAGTCGTTAAAAAATTACTGTTGATTTTTTAGAATTTTGATCATGTGTTATATAGAAGAAAATACACAACACCCTCCACAAAAAAAAAACGACGAAAGGGCTACGCGACGACTGTAGTTGTGGCCAGATTAGATCTATTTCGATTTTTCCAGCGACAGATAAGTTTCTATTTCCTCTTCTTTTATGTCAAACTCATACAAATGATGTCGCTGCCGCGTTCAAAAAAATCCTGTCGCCTTCGACAAAGCGTTTAGAAATGGAGATAACAAACTGGAAGCTGTGGCCCGTAGCTCGTCGTTTTCAATGTGTTCAGCACTTAAGGACAGAGGCGTTTGAAGAGTGGGGCTCAGTGGAGATGCAAAGAGATGTCTGGACTCATGAGATCTCTCGGCGTGCCGAGCATTCGTTTCACACATCTGCTTTTACTCTGATCAGGTACGAACGAGTTTAACCTGCTGCAGTAGCCAGAGCGAAGTATATATAACTCGAAATATATCAGAGGGTGGTCTATTAAGAATGGCATGGTGAGGAATTGCCTCTATTTCCATTAACCAAAAGCGCTTTATATATAGTAGCTGTTAAAAAATAACAACAAATAAAAAATATCTGTCGTTAATACAAGTGAATTAAAAAAACCAACTTCACATCCCTATAAAAATTTGGTAGTACTGTTTGTTCTTCATGATGAAATTATTGGAACTAAACCAAATATGGCTCTGCCCTGAAGGTACCACATTTTCGTTAGAAAAAGAATTATGGAAAACGGCTCTCGTGGTTCAAATATTTATTCGAATTGATAAAAATTGATTAAAAATGAGCAGAACGTTCGGGGTCTCGCTGGGTAGGATTTCATTGCGCCCTCGAATTTATTTTTTAGTAAAATTTGGTAATTTGTTTTATTTTATTTGTTGTTATTTTTATTTTATTTGCAAAGAGCATCAGGACAATCTTCTACGGATTCTCACTACGTTAGAGCGCTAAGTATCAATAATTTCATTGATAACCGTAGGAAATTTCTACGATATTAGTAGGGCTACGATTCACGCCACCACTTCGAGTAGGGCGGTCTCAGTTGACTTTGATTTTAGATAGGCATGTCGAGAGTACGACAATACTTAAACCTTCTTTCAAATTATCAGGACAGGATTTAGTATTAAATACTCTCGGAAGCTTTCTCTGGCATGATTGGTAATAATCTGTTCTTAACCGGTGATTTAAAGAAGATAAATGAAAACACAAACAAGGGTGGTCAACAGAAGCTACATCTCAGTGAGTTTCTATAGCAAAGTTCCCAGCCTTCAGAGAAATGGGCTGAACAGTGTTTTTTCAATAATAAAAGCGACAATATTTTCAATCTACAGTTTTATTAAACGTACGTATCTATGACAAAAAAAAATCACATGGCAAGACAGTTTTCATTTCCCTATTTACTTATTACCACTGAAAGCCTAATTTTCTTAGCACTAACAAATATAATATTCTTAACTCTAATTTCTTATTTGCTATTTTTTCAGTCCACATCCAGTTTTCGAAATGTACCTTCTAAACCAAATAATGGTTCGGTATTAATTGAACCGCCTCCCACACGTAACTTCTCATCAACACCATAATACTTCTCTTCCAATAAATATTCACGATATTCCAAAATTAACTGCTCAGTTCTAGCAACAATCTCCTCAATGCTGCTATTCTCGCCACCATATTCCTTTGGCAGATACTTTATGGGTACGGCTTCGCAAAGCGATTCAAACGTGGTGTGCACTTGGAGCTGTAAAAAAGAGGTGAGGTTGTTAGTTTTTTTTATAAAAATATGGTTCATGCTTTAATCAAAACCACATAAACCAAACTTAAAAATTTTATACAGAATTTAGAAAAATGCAACGAAATTTCGTCTAAATTTTGAACTTTTGAATCTGTTAAAAAAAAAAAAATATTGAATACGCAGATAGATCAGTTTTTCAATTCTAGTAAACGAAGTGCAAGTTTTAAGCGGCTATAAAATCGCGTTGATATTTATTGATTTCTTATTTCTGACGGATTTTTATACTTTTTACCTTATAAAAAGGAATTTTTGTAGAATAAAATGCGCATGACCGTTTGCAAACAAAATTAAAAAAAAATAACGCTATATTTTATAAATTGCAATTGTTATATGCATAAAACCGCAAAATCCGCTTAAAACTTGCACTTGTTGCACTGAATGACATAGCCGATCTATCTGCTTACCGAAATTTTTTTTTTTAATTCAAATTAAAAAGTTCAAAATTTAGACGAAAATTCGGTGAAATTTTCTAAATTCTGTATAAAGTTTGAAAATTTGGACCATATTTTTACAAAAAAATAACAAACAAATTTTAGTTTCGAAAACATTGCAAATATTAAACAAAAAACACCATGCACTCACGGGAACAAGTTTTAACCAATCAGTTTTTGCCCCTCCCCCCCCCATCCAATGTTTTTTTTTTGTGTATTCTGTCATCATAATCAAGTAATTTAAACTAAAAATCAAAGGCTCCCATGGGAGCATTCAAAAGATACTCGATTATTCGTAATTTATCGAGGAACAACTTTTATAACGAAAGTCAAAAGCCATTCTACAGTAAAAGGAGGGACCCCAAAAACACCCAAAATCAGCGCCTATTTTTGAGCCCAATATAACTTCTGAACTAAAAGAA